CCTTGACCCAACAACCAACCATTGACCCAACCCATGACCCAACCATTGACCCAACCATTGACCAACCCTTGACCCATTGACCAACCCTTGACCCATTGACCAGCCATTGACCCAACCATTGACCCATTGACCCAACCATTGACCAACCTTTGACTCAAACCTTGACCCAACCCTTCACCCAATCATTGACCCAACCAATAACTTTTCCCCAAATCCCACCCTCCAACACCCTTCACCCCCTTCCCCACCCTTAGGGATCCCCTCCCCAAATCCTACCCCCCCTTCCCACCCTCAGAACCCCCTCCCCACACCTTGCGGACCCCCCAAAAACCGAATTTATTTTTTTTTTTTTTTCCCACCAAAACAAATCCCCTGTGGAGCCTCCGGGGAGGAGGAGCCTGCGCGGGGTGAGGGGAGGATTTGGGGGTCCCGGGGGTGCCGGGGGGGGCCGGGGGGCTCTGGGCTCACCCGAATACTTGCCCCCCTTGCTGCGTTTGATGAAGCAGAGGATGAGGAGGAGGAGGAGCAGCAGCACCGCGGCGCTCACGAAGCCGATGAACCAACCCTCGGTGGCGAACCCGCCCGCGGGGCGCGGCAGCACTGCCGGGGGGGAAAAAAAATAAAATTTTGGGGACCCCCCCCGGGGATTTTTGGGAGTCCCTCGGGGAGTTCGGGGCATCCCTGAGGGGTTTTAGAGAATCACCGAGGGGTTTTAGGGATGCTCTGAGCAGACTTGGGGACACCCCCGAGGATTTTTGGGGAGCCCCTCGGGGAGTTCAAGGAATCCTTGAGGAATTTAGGGCATCCCCAAGGGGTTTTAGGGATGATCTGAGCGGTTTTGGGGACCCCCCTCGGGAATTTTGGGGAACCTCGGAAGAATTTTGGGGTCCGGGGTATTTTGGGAGTTTTGGATACCTGGGGGAGGGTTTGGGATTGAGAGGATTTGGGGGGATTTAGGGTTTCAGTGGGGTCAACAAAAATTTTGGGGTTCTGTGGGACCCCCGCGGGATCTCAGAGCTCACTGGGAGGGAATTTGGGCTGGATTTTGGGGTGATTTAGGAGGTGATTTTGGGGGTAAGGGGGATTTGGGGTTGGTTTTGGGATGATTTAAGGGGGTTTTAGGATGATATAGGGGTTGATTTTGAGGTTGATTTAAGGCTATTTTGGGGGTAATTTTGGAGGTGATTTGGGGGGTTCCGCGGGGACTTCGGGGTCTCTTTAGGACCCCTCGGGATGTCCCAGCTCTGTGAGGAGATTTCGGGCTCCACCCGCCGCTTTTCGGGGCTCACTGGTGCCGTTGGTGTGCACCTCGCTCTCCCAGAATGCCACGCGCTCCCCGGAGTGGTTCCGTCCCACGAACTGCACCCGGTACGAGGTCCCGGGCCGGAGATCCCCGAGCCGGTACCGGCCCAGGGATGAGTTGGCCCGGCCCGAGGAGCGCCAGGGCTCCT